TAGTTGGTTCGAGGCGAAACTGTGTGTTGCGCTGTACTTCCTATAAAAATACCAGTGTGGAGTTGACTTTGTGGAAATTTCCTGAAATTTGTTTAACGAAAACGTCATCGGTGGTTGCCGTTTGCGGAATATACTTGCTTGTCTACTAAGGTGGTGCAACGGGAGACCAAAGTTAATCCCAGCCAAAACTTCTAGCGCGAAACTGGTTGCAAGCGTCAGGGATGTTCTGTAAAATACAACAGATATACTATTTTTCCCGGAATTAAGTATGATGGAAACTTGGGCATTGCATTCAGTTGGGGATGGAGGAAAAGAAGAATAAAAAGGAAACGAGAGACGTTCAGTTGAGGTTCGTTTGAGCTTTTCAATGGTATACAATGATTTTTTCGTTTTTTCTCAATATGTGTTTGCTATTAAAATTACAAAAATTGCTCACCGCCAGGAAAGTAATGACTGGCAAAGACAATGAATTGGATGTCTTTTTTCAAAAGTGATTAATTCTGTGACCGTGTTTGATTTGTATTTACGCATGAAAAGTTTTGCAACTACAACAACACCACCGACGGTTCTGACGTATTTTAATTTCTCTGTTCTGTGACAATCAATAGTCGTTCATTTTGTGAGTTAAGTCTGGATAAAAAGAACAACGCAACGCTTGTTGTACAATGTTTGTTTTTGGATTTGTTTATGCCAGAGAGTTTTATGGCCCAATAATCCACAGTGAATGTGATGATCAACAAAAAAAAACAATCAACGAGTATAGTTTTGCCCGTTTACTTCGGTTTGATAGAGCCACTTACGACACAAGGCCGACATAATCGGAAACCTTCTTCGCACTGTCGGGGCGTCATATTTATTAGGACGAATTTCTGAGGACGGTACGGTATCCAGTCAAAAATTTGGCAATCCTTTAGTTTGCTACTCAGAAGTAAATTTGTGAATATAAGCATGGTGTGGTGGGATGACCATACCGATTGCAGGACATACTTGAGACACCTTATATCACAAACAGCCTAATGATGAGGAGTATCTAAGGAACAAACATAAATCAGCCGTCAATCCTAATTGTATCTCAGACATTGGGGATTTCCAACTCAGTTTATTGCACCTGAGAGACGATTGATGGAAACCTGAAAAAAACCACCATCATAAGTTGATGAAATCTGATGAATAAATGAAAAATAAGTGAAAAGTTAAATATCTTGCTTTGTAAAAAGTAACTTTTATGGCAGCTGAATGTGGTAATGGCGGCACTTGAGAACACTCTTGTATCCTGACCCACTGAAATACGTGCGCCCACGTAAGTACTGACTGTCACATCTCGTTCGCGTGGTTCAAGTGCAGCAAACGGATCAACCTCAGATTTTACTTGTTAGTCCACCATTTACCACAACACACTGTACAACGTTCTGGTGAGGTTGAGTCAGTCAGTAGAACAATTACGTAAATCTGATCTATGGTGAAATGAGAATATAATTCAACAGACTAAAGCAGGCCAAAATCACAACGGAGTATCGGACTTCTTTCATGGCATGTGGACACTTTCGATTAAAATATTGTGTCTTCTCAACTTACACTTAACTATTCGTTACAGAAATAACTGTTCAATGGGGTATTTATTATAAATGTATTGCCATTAAATCAACTAACCTAACAAGAAACCATTTTACCAATCAAAACAGGAGTAACAGGACCCGTTGTTTCACAGACAACCACAGACAAAACAAAATCAGGATCGCAGACTCTGTGTATATGGATTGTTCACAAGTTTGTCGGAAGTTTTGTGTAGTTCAATGGTCATTCTCCCACAGCTGTCCTCAGGGAAAGGAAACACAAGCGTTGGTGTTCCATAAAACCAAATGTCCGAAATCTTTATCATAATTGAAACGATTTAAATATCGCATATATATATATATATATACGTATACACACGGATGTCACTGGTTACTTTATAAGAAAGACATTGTTATGATTAAGGCTTTATACTATGTTTCATTAAATCTTTGGCGACTTGAGTAACTTCGTTTGACTGGAGGTATTCTTGATATTGACAGTGGGCATTATTATATAAATTACCGACTTAATCTCGTATTGAAATCCAAGTAGACAGTAGGTGAATTTTACAACATTTTGTAAATCAATAAACTGGCCGCAGGTTTTAGTAAATATGCTAATTTATTTTCATGTTTTTTTACCTTTATTCATTTGAAAAGTTACCTATCTGGAACAATATTAGTTCAAAGCAGTACATGAATCCCTAGACTAGCTGGGTAAAGCAAATTAATCTGATTTCGTGACTGATCTATTTTTGACAACTAGGACCGAAACTTGGGCAATTCGTAGTGAGAAGGTTAGTGAGGAGATAACTGTGGACTACTAATCATTCCAGTGAGTATGACTTTACAATGAAGGGTAACACACCTTTCAGTCTTCTTGGGGGCAGAAAATCTTCGCGTGGGCTCTAGTTACGTTACACGATTTGTTGTTCCGGGAAATTCCAGAAATCAGGGTCAGTTCTACTTGGATGACTCTATCGATATAACCTACAAACTCCGTTTTCGACCAGCCAAATTCCGGAATATTTTTTTAAGAAGCCGGAAATAGGCGATCAATATTTGCACGTTACATACTACTTATGTGTATGATTACTGTGCAATACCCACACACTAAAGATATTGCGACAGCTCTCTCGAACAGGTAAATATAGAAATGGCATTGTTGGGCATTACCAAACTTGTTCGTTCTTTCCTTCACTCGTGTCATTTAAGTTTTTAAAACCATGAAAATATTTGCCCATAAGTGGTTACCAAATCGTTGGTCAGGTCAGGACCCGCTCATCATGTCATGCCATTGTGATACTATTTAACACAGCTATAAGCCACAAACAACACTTAGTTTATTCAGCTTTATTTTTAACGGATACCGTGCGTGTTTTCCTACAGCACGATTTGTTCTGTATAATTTTGCATCACGTGATCCATTTCGTTCAGGCAACCTTTTATAGTGGAAACAAATTTATTGGAAAAATATTGCTTCCTCTAATTTGTCTCCCGGTTTACACATCATCCAGCTGATAATCACATGTTTTCTATCGTGTGTGTTAATGGCTTCAAAAGTGAAAGTGAGATACAATGTGCACTTGGCAGTGGGTCCCACAGTACCTAACTCTTCGGGTGCACTTAATTCATTTGGCCTGTGCACTCGTTCCTTTGCTTCATGTACTTAATAAATAATGTACAATAACTGGAGCTTACTTGTGTGGTATCCCCTGAAATACTTAAGCACTTTCAATCAAAGCATTAGGACGTCAAGTTTTACCTTCCATCTCTGAATGATTAGTTCGCTATATCAATGCTGGTGATGCAGCCATCTTTTACAATACAGAAGGCATTGAGGAGTCTAAGCTGCTTCTAGTCTCCTGTGTTCACGTCATTCAACACCTTCACAGTTGGTACGTATAATTTGTCTTTATGAGGATAAAGTCACACCAACTTTACTTATTTTAGAATCGAAATGAGGCCGTTTGTCTTGACTACCCCATGAACTAGTATGCTCAACTTATTTCAGTATTATATGGTTTGTTGTGTGTGCGGTGTTTCATTGTTAACGGGAAGAGGGCCTTCACTGCGGAGTTATTCATTAGAAAATGCTAACTGACCATTGGACAGGGATGCAAAACTTTCGTTTGTATCTTATTTACAAAAACTGGACATCTATCTTCTCCTGAACGCGTCTCCTTGAACTTTCCCGGATATCCATTAACTCCAATCATTCCTCGCTCAAATTCAAGAGAACATTACAAAGCAACTCCACAAATTCCGCAACAGATCTCCCCTTTTCAAAAGACGCAAAGCAGAATTCCAAGAAAAACACATATTACTCGTATTTCTCCCCATCAGTAATATCACCGTTACACACCTCCGTCCTTTAGAGGTCGTTCGCATGCCATCGATTTTCATTTACGTCCGTCAGGTCGGCTTCGGCAGCGGGTCTTCGGGTGTATTATGCCACTTACGAAGCTGCGTCCCGTTTACTCTCTTCGATCCCCGACCATCTTGAGTTGTGTATACGTTCCTTCGGCGGTCGGTAACTTCAAACGGCCCTAGCCGTCAATTGCCTAACTTTCGGGACCCCAGTTCACTCCTTCCAGGATTCCGGTGGTCCTTCCACATGACAATTGTCTTATCTTATCGTCATTTAATCAAACAACTTCACCGTGCGTTCTGCGTACGTTGATTTGCCTTCCCATGATGCAGTCCCTTACACTTTATGGACAGTTATCTAGTTATAGAAAGTACATTGTAGGAAAGGTGGAGGTTTGGAAACTTTTGAGTTTGGGCAAACGCGCACAGTGCAATGAAAGGGCAGGATGTCACTCGAACCTGCAAAGTCTCGACTAACGGGTGAGTTCTGCAGACGCAGTAGGACGTCTTATGTGCACATCTGAAGACGGTTATTCACCAACTCTCTGCATCGTTGATCAGCAGCTGATGTCTCTATGTGATCTGTCAAAGGTAGCTTGTTTGAACCCCGTCCATGTGACGTTTATTCCCGTCAAAATGTATCTGCTATGATTCAGGTCAAACAATTTTCTAAACTTCACCTCCCCTAAGTTGGTCCAAAGTTATTGTTCATTCAGTATATGGTCCATTAGGAAGGCCACTTGAGGAGCTTACTAATGGCATCTGAAGGTATTACCAGCTGATACGTTAGGCAGAGTTGTGGTCAATAAAACCTCACCTCACTTGCAGATGTGCAATACGGGAGGCGGTCGTAGTAAATCACTTGATATGGCACTCACAATTCGTGCAAAACTTCGGGTCTATTATGTGTATTTGGGTCCATATTTGCCGTAAATGAATCCTCGGTTCGCATTCTGAATGGATTATTCAATAAACTGAGGTTATTGTACTTAATTTTTTGAAAAAAATATCAGTACATATGTGTCTATCCTTTCGTGTTTTCAAAATGACTGCCAATTCATACTATTTCCGTTCCAGACATATTCTGCTAACTCTGAGCAAAATTGAGAATTGATTTATGTGTGCAATATAACAATGAAGTCGATGAGTTTCAAGGAGAAACGTCCTCAGCCGATTACAATCACTTCTACCGAGGTGCGAGACATGAGTGATAGCCCGGCCGATTCACCCGCCTCACCAACTAGTGGGAGCAACCAGACCACCAAAAGTGAAGAACCTGTGAAAGTGGTTGTGTTGGGGTCGGCCAAAGTTGGTAAAACTTCGATTATTCAACGGTTCCTGTATAATCGCTTCGAATCTAAATACATCCCCACAGTTGAGGATATGCACACAAAGAAACTCATTGCCCGTGATCACATAGTGCGGCTGGTTCTGATCGATACAGCAGGCAGTTTCGATTTCCCGGCCATGATTCGGCTATGCATTGATAAAGCACACGCGTTCATTTTGGTATTTTCCCATGACAACCCAGGTTCTTTGGTTCAGGCGGGAATATTCCTTAATCAAATCAAATCTCAGCGGAAGGATTACGCACCCCTGGTTTCTACAATGCCACATAACATCAGTGAAAAATCGTCTGTTGTCGCCCCCACAAGCGCCAGTCCAATTGGTCCTGGATCACCTCCAATCACTGTAGTTTGCAACAAATCCGACCTACCGTTGTCGTGCTCCCGGATTAGTGAGAGTGTGATAATGGAGTGGCTGCTTACAAATGGTTTGAAACCATCGCAATTTGTTTACGCAAGTGCTAAATCAAATGATTCTATTCAAGCCATATTTAAGTCACTTTGGATTCAAAATGAGACAACAAAGTCAATTCAACTGGAACCATGGGACAATAGTCGCCGATCCAGCATTCACAGTGTTCGTCCACAGACACCAACACTTCCGGCAACAGATTTCTCCGCACTCAGTGGTACAGTGCAACAAGCTGAAGAAAGTGGCGACGGACCAAACAATGCAGAATCTGAAAAGACTCCATTCAAATCACGACCCAACCTTTTCCGTAGCAGCCTGCGATTAGCTCGAAGAACTAGCTCAAAACACAACAAGGCGAAACCTGAGTTTGAGCATGTAGACTGTGTAATTTCCTGACAGCAACTTATTTTGGCGTCCTACGTGATGGGTTGCACATGGTTTATTCACACTATCAGCACATAACTGATATGTCAGAGGACCTTTGAAGATTGAATCGATTCATTTCAGTCATTTTCGCACCTGTTGCAGTATTATTGTTTTTGTCTGTGGAAATTTTTTGTGAACAAACTGTCAACTCAAACATGACCTGATCCAATGACCTTGTGTTATATTGTGCACACAGGATTTTTACAGCCAACCGATAAAATCATCGGGTGTACGAATGTAGCATATCATCAGCTGGGTAAAACACACCACCGTTGGCAAAAAAATCTCTCGGTGCTCGTGTATAATTGCCGGGCTTGTAAAGTATTGACGGGAACAATTTTATCTGGATATTGAGATTGCTGAGTTGAAATAAGACCTGTATTCTTAGTCTACTACGGCGGTGTTGGATTACAACATGCATGAAGACTTAGAAACACTGTCTAGTTATTCCATGCCTAGTAAACTTCATCGGCAGATTTACTTTCACTAGTGTTAAACGAGATTTTTACCTAAAACATTTGATCCATATGTGATGCATACACCCAAACTTCTCGTTATTAAACTGTAGATACGCATACAACCACTGTCACCCAGGTGGCGATGGTCCGAATAATGGCACAGAGATTTGCGATACAGCCTGACTGTTTGCATTGCATTAACTCTATCCCAAGAATTTCTTGCTACCTGGTCGTAGTTGGAAAAATGTTAGTTTATGGTCTTTCGGGCTGGTTCACACTCAGCTCTGAGTCAACCTCAGGATTAATGTCACCCGTCGCTATACCATCGTACTCCAGTTTGCCGTTCGCCGACATTCAACTATAAAACATCCAGTCAAAACCCCAAAATGAAAATTCATTTAAGGCTTAAAGGTGCCCGTCCCGAAAATCCGAACGACAGTACGAAGCAAGTTCTGACTTAGGCAGCAAAATGTATGACCGGTATTAAAAGGGATGCATGTTACGATCTCATGAAAGAACGAGCTATTGGGACTGTACAATGTTAGTAATGTTGCACCTACAAAATACAAGTCGGTGATCCTTCGTACAAAATACGTCTTTCTTTCCTATTCATGGTGCAAGGAAGAAGGTCTTCGCTGCGGAGTTATTTATTCGGAAAGGCTCACTGACCGGTTACAGATCATTGAAAAGGGGAGCAAAAATCTGCATCTTAGTTACAAAAACTGGACACAGATCTTCTCCCGAAAGAGTCTTCCTAGAGATTCATTGCCACCACTCATTCGTCGGTCAAAGCCAAGCAAATGTTACAAAGTGGCCCCACGAATTCAGCAACAGAATTCCATTTTTCAATCGACGCAACGCGAAATTCCACGAACAACACATACTACTCGCGTGCCTCCCTAATCAGTGGTATCACCGTTACACACTTCCAACCCTTGAAGCTCGTTCGAATGCCATCGATTTTCATTTACCTCCGTCACGTCGGCCTCGGCAGCGGTTCTGCTCGGCCGCTCTTCAGGTGTATCATGCCACTTGCGAAGCTGAGTCTCATTCACTACTTTCAATCCCCGAACATCTTGAATGGTATAGACGTTCCCCCGGCGGTCGGTGACGAAAAACGACCCTTGCCATCCACTGCCCAGCTTCCGCGACCCCAGTCCACTCCTTCCAGGATTCTGGTGATCCTTCCACTTGACCTTCGTGCCTTTAAGGAACGTTCGGACCTTTCTACTTGCCGTTTTCTGCCTAGTCCTTTCCTGAACAACGGTCAACTTTTCACGAGCTTTCTTTCTTTCTTCCTCTAGCTCCTCTGGAAACAAGCGTGTTGCCGGTCACAACCCAATTTCCTGATCAACCGGAAGGCGCGGATGTCGACCGTACATTTGCATAAACGGGGACTTGCCTGTGGTTGACTGCGCGGAAGCACGATGAGCCAACAACACCATTGGCAAGTTCATTTTCCAGTCACCTCCTTTGGCCGCAAGCCACTCCTTGATCGTTCGGTTATTACGTTCGGTCAGGCCATTTGTTTGCGGGTGGTATGGTGCCGTCCTTAGCCGTCTGATACCCAGCTTCTGCAAGCAATTACGAAACTCCTCGCTCTCGAAGCAAGGCCCTCGATCGGTTAGGATCATTTTTGGTACCCCATGTTTGGCCACAATGTGATGCATTACCACTCCACTGATCGTCGCCGCCCGCAGATTCGGCACGGATGCCGCCTCAATCCATCGCGACAGATGGTCTATCATGATCACGATGTATTGGTTCCCACTGGTTGTCACCGGAAAGGGCCCATGACGTCAACTGACCACAACTCGCCGAGTTCTGAGACAGGAATGGGTTCCATAGGATGGATCACCCCTGTCGTATCCGCTTTCGTTAGTTCACAACGCTTACAGGACACCACATAATCCATCACCTCACTTCTCATCCCGGGACAGTAGGCCCTCTGCCGAAGTAGGTCGTATGTCTTGGCGCACCATGTATGTGCCATCTCATGGCATTCAACGAGGAGCTTCCGTCTCAAGACGCGAGGTATCACGGGCAGCCCAACATCCGAATCAATGGCGTTCCAGGAAATTATACCAGCTTCATTCAGCCTCAGCCGATCAAAGTGACTCTGGAACGCTTCTCATTCCTTGTCTTCCTCTCCGTTCTCAATGTTCCTTCCATCCAGCGATCTTGTTGAAATCCTTAACAAGCCGGCTGTAGTATGTTGTTCGTCTAAGAAACTGCCGTAGAGACCGCTTTGAATTGGGAGCAGCACAATCCTTGATCTTCGCTAATTTTTCGGGCAGTGGACTAACTTCTCCCTGACCCACATTATGCCCCAGCAGTGTCACCGAACTCCGAGCGAGCTGCGTCTTGGTTTCATTTATCCGCAGGCAAGCTTCCCGGATCCGCTCCAACACAGCCTTTAAGTGAACTACGTGCTCTGGTTCCGAATTGTCCCTTCCAGTCCTGGGTTGTGACCTTTATTGATTTGCCCCCAAGGGTCACAACCAAAGGTCACAACCCAGGACTGGAAGGGACAAAGGTCAATCTAGCTTCGACCAGATTACGACAGAGGGGATGTCAAGCTCAAAGGTCACGTGGGCATCGGCGAATGGGGATACAAGACAACGGAGCAACCAATGGAATCACCCGACCGAACAA